TTTTAAGGAGTTTCATATTTCCAAATTTTGAGAGAAGACACATGTCAAAATAATTAATAGATATTGATAACTACTAATTGCAAAGAGAGAGGAAGATGACAAGTATCATAAAAATAGGGCAGGCCTCTTCTCGCTTAAAATATAGAAGAAAGATATACTCCAGAGAGAGTAAAATGTAAATTTATTACACGATTTTTTTCAGAAAATCTTTGATTTTTTTAAATTCGTTAAGAAGTCCTTCTTTTTCAAAAGACCTTAAAAAATCTCATTTTTTTAATAGAACGGATATAAATCCCTACTTTATCTTTTTTCAATTTTCAAAAAAACCTTTTCCAAAAAACTTCTTCCCTATAACTTTATTTCTTCATTAACTTTATTGAATGTTAGTTTAAAGATAAGTACATTAATAGTAGGAGTAAATTAAGAATCTTGATTTAATAAAAAGTTCCATGAAAAATTTCACCAATGAGTTTCCTTACCAAAAAAAAAATACAAACAATATATTCCCAAAAAATGCAATCAAAACAATCGTATATCACAAAATAATAGGTAGAATTAGAAGAAAAGTAACCCAATGAGAAGTCCTTTTTTTTTCTTTAAACCCATCGCATCCCTATAAAGAGCAAGAGAGAGATTCAATGATACTAAAGATTTAGATAGCTAGGAATTCAATGCGAGATACGAATTTTCTGAAGCATTTTGTTTTGTTATGAAAATAGAGAAGTTTGATTAATTTCATATTTATGTTTTATTTTAAGTCTCACATCTATTATAGAAATATCACCTCCCTCCTTAGTAATAGAGAGCCAGCTGCAGCAGCTATGGATAATATTACTTAAAACAATTTCTACAGGTACGCTTTTACATCAAAAGTTCTTTTGTGTGCTCGTTCTACACTTCCCACATTACAACCCCCCTAATAATCTTCCATATGATCTTCCGTAATTTTGGTAACTGAGGAAAAGCCAATTGTGTGATAACTCTCGAACCATCTTGAAGAAATGCTACACTCAAGCCTAACAATCCCAAAAAGAATCCCCCTAAGTTCGCAACAAAATTGCAATGAACAAAAAGATAGTGTTATTGACTCCCCATCTTTCTTGCACATCAAACATACATTTGGTAGAATTTTTCATCAATATCTTGTTATGTCCTGCTATCCAGATAAAACATTGAACCTTATATTGTATAGGCCTCTTCCACACTTTTTGCGTCCTTGTGACATAGATGGACGTCCGTGGTCATTGAAAAAGAGGGTATACATGGCTTTCACTGAAAATAGACTATCACTTTCGAAATCCCAAACCAACTCATCAGCTATATCTCTAGCAATGTACACTGCAATGTACACTTCTTCTAGCATGGTCAAAAGAGAAGTCAACTAAAAAAGCATAATATCTGGGATTCTATTATGGGATTCTATTATAAGGAAAATGCACATTCCAATGCATTTGTTGTCCCCCACACAACTTTCTGCCGCTATAGATTGAGCGTCAGAGACTCTAGAAAATGGCTCGGGATAAGTATGCTTCAGCGGACCATCCCCCGACCACTTGAGGTGTTAGAAAGATAGAAGATCCACCTCCCACGAACCACCTAATATCGAAGATAAGGCCTGCATAAAAAATGTCCTTTAAAAAAACTAATCTAGACACGCTATCTATCCTTCAAAAAACTAATCTAGACGTGCGATATCTTCCCCCTCTTAGCCATATGCCATATCTGTCTATTCCATACTTCGCCGAAAGAACTTTACACCATAAATCATAATTTTAGATTGTGTCAATTTTATGTATCCGATTTTTTCACTACGGTTTTTTTAACCAAATTCAATATATTTATGATTCTATAATTTACCTTATTTGTTGGCGATCCATATTTTTTAACCTGATTTTTTCTTCTGAATTTTTCAAATAAAACAAATTAATTACCAATGTTTTGGTATGCGGATATTTTATTATTTCCCGACTTGCTAACCATGGTCAAGACCCTAGGAGTATTTTGGGAATTTTGGAAACATAGCCTGCTCGATCTATTAGTTAAACTAGTAAAGAATAAACAAAATGGTGAAAAAACAAATTTATATGCTTGTAGGAGTACATTTGCCAGACTAGCTAGGAATATTTTCTAGGACTTCAAAATTTGGAGATGAGCAAACCAAAGAAAAAGAAAATTACACAAGCATTTAGAAGTGCCTGAAAAAAAAAATGCCAAACATAAACTATCCAAATTTTGGATATGCCCTCTCGTAGTGCCTAAAGAAAATAACGATTGTGATTTAACGTTATACTCACTCTAGAAATCCTTTAAAAAATAACGCCCCAGAATTGAGCACAACTTTCCAATTCCTAGATGGTCTTATCTAGGTGTATAACAACTTAAAATCCTGTTTTTTTTCTTTGTCCTTTGTCCTTGAAACTTCAAATCCTCTACTAATTTCAAAGTGAATGCCACAAGTATAGATCAAGAAAATTCTTCCCGAGGGAGTACACGTATAAATTGCTCCAGTCAGAGCATAGTTTATGTACGAAAAAATATTGATAGATTCCTTACATCTAAGAAAAACAACCGCTTAGGATTGAACAGAAACCATCTAATTGTTTGAATAATGAGATCTAAATATTTATGCATTAAAATCCATTTTCTGTGTAAAAAATACTCTTTTGGTAATTCATGCAAATAATTTTCTTTCTCATGAACCTCTCAATCCTAGACCGATGGTCAATATCAACTCTAGTTTTCACCTTCCAGTGTTGGACATGTTTTTCCTGAATAAATGCCATAAGTGTTTGCAACA